TATATATATATATATATATATATATATATATATATAATATTATATTGACCAGTTAAAAAAAAATAATTATATGGTTGACAATAATATTACTGAAGAGTACGGTAATAATATTATTGTCAACCACAACGGTATTTCTAATACTGGGGTTGACCGCCAGTCAGCGGTGATTTTTTTTTTTTTTTTTGTTTGTACAAGAAGAAAAAAGTTAAAACGACTTTTGTTGACTGGCGGGTCTCTAGTAGCAAAATGAAAATTTTCAAAAAAAATAAAAAAATCAAAATAGGGTTTTGGAGTTAAAATTAGTGAAATTATATTATATTAGGAATTCGGTTCAAAACAAGTAAAAAAATCAAAATAGGGTTTTGGTTTATTATTCTAGATTTAGGTGTTATATCTCTTTCACCAATAAGCCCAGCCATTTAATATTTATTATAAATAAAGGAAACATTCATGTTTACGCCAATGTTACCCCCAACCTTTTATACCCAATTCTTAATTGTAACTCCAATTTAATCAATTTTGTCCACAAAAATCCAAATTTTGACAACAAAAATCTAATTTTGACTTTTTTTTTTCAAAAACATTTTTCCCGCCGGTCTTCGGCGTCGACTTTTCCATTTTTTTTTTTTTAACATTTTTTTCCTTCCGGATTTTTCGCCGGTTTCCGGCGTTGACTTTTTTTTTTTTGTTTTTTTTTTTTACTTCCGCCGCTAAACGTTGACCGTAATTGTGTTGTCATTGACAGTAAATTAACGTAATTATACTGTCAATGACAGTTAATTAACGTAATTGTACTGCAGTTGACAATATATTTATGTAATTGTTCTGCACTTGACAGTAAATTAACGTAATGTTATTATTTTTTATTTTTTGTTATTTTTTTATTTTGTTTGATTTGTTCACAAGTCAACGTAACTATATTACTGTCGTTGAGAGTAAAATAAATGTAAACACAATAATATTACTATCAACAACATCAATATTATTATTTTTTTGGTTTTTTTGTTTTGTTTGAGTTATTCACGAAGTAACGTAATAATATTACTGTCTATTATTGTAATATTACTTTAAATACAATAATATTATTGTGGTTGACGGTAATATTACTGTTGTTATAGTAATATTGTTGTCAACCACATCAATATTATTATTTTCTTTGGATTTTTTTTGTTTGTTTGAGTTATTCACGGAGTAACGTAATAATATTACTGTCTATTATTGTAATATTATTGTGGTTGACGGTAATATTACTGTCGTTATAGTAATATTACTGTCACTCACAATAATATTAATTCTTTTGGTTTTTTATTATGTTTACATTTGTTAAACGGTCAACATAGTGTTATTACTCTATTACACAATAATAATGAGTTTTGTTGTGTTAATATTAGTGTGCTAGAGATTAATATAACAATATCACTGTGTTAAACTGTAATTTTAATGAGTTTAACAGTAATATAGTTAATTTGTTGTCAATCACAACAATATTGATGTTTAAACGAGAAAAAAAATGTTACAGAAAGAAAAAAAATCGAAAAAAAGTCAACGCCGGAAACCGGTGGTTGAAAAATCAGGAGAAAAAAAAAAGTCAACGCTGGAAACCGGTGGTTGAAAAATCAGGAGAAGAAAAAAAGGTCAACGCCGAAAATCGGCGAAATAATCCGAAAGATAAAAAATAAAAATAAAAAAAAAGAGTAAAAAGCAGTTTGGCCCCTAAACTATGGGCCGATTTGAACTTTACCCCCCAAACAAAAAAAATTTGCACGTTTTTACCTGAACTCGTTAATTCGTTGCACGGTGTCCCCTGAACTCAATTTTCCGGCAATTTTAACCGGAAAGTTAAAACATGTGCCTTGCATGTGACATTTGCAGGGGTATCTTCGTACATTCACTTACATCTTTAATGTTAAATATAAATTATTCTTTAAAAAACAAAAAAATAAAAAATAAAAATAAAACAAAGAAAACAAAAAACAAAAAAAAAATTTTTGTCTTCTTCCCCCATTCGCCGTGCCACCACCATCCCATACCCATCCGAGCCAAAAATTCCGTCACCCACCGGCCGCCGATCGAGTCTTCGACCACCTTCTCTCTTTCCGAAAAACACACACTAAAAGCTCGCCTCTCTGATCTGTAATTTATGTATATCTAATTTCTCCGATTTATGTGTGTGTGTGTGTGTGATTGCAGGAAGTCAGCGGTAGATTCAGGCCGTATTCGGAAATAACAGGGGTTTATCGCTGTAAAGAACAGATTGATTGGAAACGAAAATACGGCAAATATAAGCTCCTTAATTACTGAACCTTCCAAATGGTAATCTTTTTTTTTTTTGGGGATTGATTTTGCAGTTAATTATTTTATTTTATTTTATTGATTTTTGCAAAATCAATTGCAGCCAGCGGTGTACTAAGAGGAATGTTCGTCAAGCTTATCACAATGTCTGCCATGGTTAGTTTTAGTTCTAAAACTGTTATTGTATTGTGTTTTGCTTTCATTTTGTCGTAATTTAGCCTTCGGAAAACGGAATAAAGAATCAAATTTTTGTTGGGGGTGGACATTTTTGTTCTTAATTATTGAGAATAATGTGCGTAGGTTGTGCTAAAGAGCATAAACCCGAAAAATCGAGAAAGATTGATAAAAAATTAAGTTTTTTTTTGATGAATTGGTTAATGTTGAAGCGGATGCAGTCAGTTTATGAATTAATATTTGTATTTCTTCCCGTGCATAGATATTTTAGAAGTAGAAGCTGAGAAAAAGACATTAGACGAGGTTTTCATTTTATAATTTTTAACAGTTGAAGCTATTATTTTGGTTTCGGGTTCAGTACAATCACTGATGTTAGTTGAGTTAGAAACTTACCAATTGTTTGCTGCTTTAGGCAATCAAGAATGCTCCGGAGAGGGATAGGAGATCTTTGCTAAGAGCTGTAAGTTTTTTGTCGGAATTTTTTTTTTTCTGATTTATTTTGTTTGAACTGAATTTGGGCCGCCGAGGAGATGTAGTGCATCAATTATCGGAGATGGATGTTGCTGTTATTTTTTCGCCAGAGAATGTTGTCTGGCCCGCCGACGAAGCTATATCCGTGAAAGGAAGAGCGGTGGTGGTCGTCGTAGAATTTTGGAAATTTATTAAATTAGGTGTTTGAGATTTTTTTTTTTGTGCAGGGATGGATTGGGTTTGGGAAGGAAGGATGGGGATGGATGACAGCTTCTTTTTCCTTGTTTTTTTTTTTTTTTTTTTTTTTTTAATATCTATTTCAATTTGTATTTAATTAATATTAAAGATGTAAGTGAAAGGACGAATTTACCCCTCAAAATCTCACATGCAAAGCACATGTTTTAATATTCCGGTCAAAATTGCCGGAAAATTGAGTTTAGGGGGCACCGTGCAACGAATTAACGAGTTCAGGTAAAAACGTGCAAATTTCTTTTGTTTGGGGGGTAAAGTGCAAATCGGCCCTTAGTTTAGGGTGCAAACTGCTTTTTACTCTAAAAAAAATAAAAAAATCAAAATTGAAAAATTCGTAAAATTTGGGGTCAAATTGAGGTTAAATTAAATAAATGATGAAATTGGAGCAAATTAAAGTATGAGGGGCTATTTTAGTCTTTTACAAAAATCTAAACAAAATGTTGACTTATTTGTAAATGAATTTTTTTATCTGAATCTATTTATCTGATTATGAATAAGTACCCATGAACTTATTTGTAATGAGTCCATTAATAAATAATATGAACAATTTTAGGACAGACAAACCAAAAGAAGATAAACAAAAGGGGGGTGAGACCGTGAGACAGAGAGGCACGTGAAGGTTATAACATCGGAGATAATACGCATCTCCAATATATATTCCCAGGTTCACTGACGTGTGTTTCCTTAAGCAAAAAGGAATAGCTATTCGAACATCACTAACTAAACAGTCGAGCCAACAAAACGACAAATTTCGAGGTTTACTAAAATTACATACTCCTTCGCCTCAGAGTCGGTTGCATTATAAAACTCCATTTCCTTTCATCAAACAGGTGGTGCCCATCCATTTCTCGATTCTTATTGGCCGAACCCACCTTAATAAAACATTTAAATTCTTAGTCTCAATGAAAGTCTCCGCAGCTGCCCCTTCGCCTTCCTCGGTGGACTTAGACAGACAACCCCTTCATTAGTTTCTTAGCATAGAGTGCAACCATATGTAGTATATAAGGATGACCTTAGCTAGTATTCTTGATTATTCACTTCCAACCATATATACATATATATCTGATTGTGGTTAAGCTTAAGTATGGCGGAAATTACCGACCAATCATTTGAGGCCTTCCAATCCCGCTGGTTAATCGGTCAAGAGCATCACCTTCATGATCTCCTTCAGGTCATAGAAAGTGGGGACGAAGAAAACGAGCAACGGTGCAAGAACCTTATCGACGACAATATATCTCACTACAAACAATACTTCGAAGCCAAGACCAGACTTGTTCGACAAGACGTATTTCTAGTGCTAGCTCCAACATGGATAAGCTCACTCGAAAGAGCCCATCTCTGGATAGGTGGATTCAGGCCGCGTTTGGCGTTTCTAATCGTCATCAACAATGTGTTGGACTTGACAGAGGATCAAACTCAGAGGATTAACCAAGGACTGGAAGAGATTAAGGAGGAGGAAAACGAACTCACCAACGAGTTCGATAAAGTCCAGGAGAGGATGGTAATTTATTAATAACTTTGTTACCTTGTTTATCAGTTAAACAAACAATTAACATCTTCGTAATTTGCATATTTCCCCAAATGTTTGTAATATTCACATAAGGTTTGAACTTGATGCAGATATCTTCATCTGTGGTGCAATTGGCTAGGCAAATGGGAAGGCCGAGGAACGGGGTATGGGATCATAGCATGGAGACAGCAGTGGATATGCTGAGGGTGTCGATTGAGGATGTGGTGGAGTGTGCAGATTTTTTGAGAAGGAAAAGTGGGATAATAATATTGGAGATATTGAATCCGACTCAGTGTCTGAGGTTTCTGGCAGCGGCGGCTAAGCTGCAGATTAATCTACGGAGGTTGGGGATGCAAAGAGATGAACGCAGACTCGGATATGGCTATAGCTAATCTCTGTCTACTTATGAGAAATTTAGCCAAGAATGGTTTTCTTGTATCAGCTTTTTGGTTTTTTGTTCTGTTCTTTGTTCTTTCTATTAAACAGTTTTTTGTTATGTTCTGTTTTGTTTTGTTGGGTTGTGTTCAATGGGACTCGTGACTCGTGAGTCATTTCTGAGTCAAGAATATTTCGTCATAAATAAATTTCCCTTTAGATTTCATTTGACTTCCATTATCTATTGCCAAGGTCAAGGAGGATTCTAGATTCCTAATATTAATGATAAATTCGTTCCCACTCATGTCGATTTGTAATAAATGTAAGCATAAATTACCATAAATCCCTTGAACTATGGTCTAATTAACAAAAACCACCCTCATGTATTCATAATTACCAAAAACCCCATACAACAAACGGTTGCTCAAATTTATGAACAGATAAGTATTTAATGCCTATAATGCCCTTAAGTTCAATATAATTTAAAAATTCATAAAATTAATAAATCTCCCCGGGGTTATGATCAAATTACCAAAACCCCCTCAAGTATCCATAATTAATAAAACCCGATAAGTTTTGTTTTGATCTACGACCTCATAGAGTTTTCAAATGATTTTTTGGTGATATTTAAAATATCAACATTGATTATATATTTATAATTTAGGTGAATTAAAAAAATATAATTACCGAATGTTGTATATAAAATATTGTGATTTTGGAACAAATTTTGTCATTCCATATTTTAAAATGTCAGTTTCGTTTTATTTATTTATTTATTTATTTATTTATTTATTTATTTATTTATTTATTTATTTATTTATTTATCAAAACTAGAATTAGATATGCTAGTTATTAACTTCTTAAGAGAATTGATGTTTTATGAAAGGTTTTAGACTTTTAGTTTCCCCAATAATTGTAACCTACTAATTTGAGAAGAGCAACTAGAGGGAGCCAAGAAATATAATAAATAAAGGGTTAATTGCATTTCGCCACCTAGAGTTTGCCCGTTTTTGCACTTTATCACCTCAACTAAAAAAAGTTGCACAGTCGCACCTAAACATTCATTTTTGACGCACATAACCACCTGGAGGGAATATTCTGGCGAATCTTTCTACTTTCCGGCGCACGCACGCTGCACAGGCCAAAGTACATGGGCTTTTTCGTCTTTTCCTTTAGCATCGTCCTAAATGCCCTAGCAGTCGTTGACTTCCCCCATTTCAATTCAATTTCACACCTTCACAAAAAATCCCCTTTTCTATGTCAATCTAGGGCTAACATTGTCGACGATAAATTGCAATAATCTGAAGATCTTCGTAACGCTATCATGACTTGGAAGTTAAGAGAGGGCAATGACTTGGACGATTTTCGAAAAAATGCTCCATAATATGGTATGCGTTCTTAAAATTCATTTTTTTTTTATGTAAATAGTTGTTTTATGTATTCAATGTGGTTGCACATGGGGTGTTCTTGGATTTGTTTATAATATACTATAGTGATTTATGTGTTTGTTTATAGTATATTTCTGTATTGTGTGGACAACAATGATTTTCTTGTCTCCCATATGTTAATGCTAGCTTACAATACATATTTGGACCACATTTTAGTCTCCCACTTTGATTTTAACACGTTTTAATTTTTTTCCTTATTACCACATCATACGGTTTTTTATTAGATTCACATGTTCTGAAAATGTGTTTTATATATTTTTTGGCAGGCCGCAATAATGATTATTTCACAATAGTAATGCACCATTCTGGAAAAATTATGGATTTAGGTAAGATCTGTTATGTGGGTGGGAAAGTTAGTTATTTTGACTACTGTTGTTATGATGAAATGTCAATGACTGAAATAACTGAAAGGGCAAATGGCAAAAAGGCCCATCACATGGGACTTAAATGCATTTTGGTCCACAAAAAAAAACAGTCTCTCAATTAAGCCCATCCCCATGTCTTTAGTCTAAAATACCCTCAATAATATAATTCTTATCAATTCCACCCATTATACTCTAACTTCCTTAATATTACACATTGACCCCAAATTTAAACAAATATATCACATTAACCCCCAAAACTTTTTTTTTCAGAAAATAATTTTTTTTCTGAAATGTTTTTTTTCCGGCCAGATTCCGGCAAGATTCCGGCGTTGACCGCCGGAGACTGCCGGTCTCCGGCGTTGACTTTTTTTTTTTTTTTTTTTAATTGTTTTTCTTAGAAAAAAAATATTTTAATTAATATTACTGTCTTGGCTACTAAATTACTGTCTCAGACAGTAATATTACTGTTTGGGATAGTAGTATTATGAATATTATTTTTCCGAACAGTAATATTATGAATACTATTTTTCCGAACAGTAATATTATTAATATTATTGTCTAAGACAGTTAAATTACTGTTGGAGACAATAATTTAACATCCAATGCAGTAATATTAATTAAATTAATTTTTTTTAAGGAAAAAAAAAGTCAATTAACAGTTAAATTACTGTCTCCGACAGTTAAATAACTGCCGGAGACAGTAATTTAGCAACGAATACAATAATATTAATTAAAAATATTTTTTTTAAGATTAAAAAAGTCAATTAACTGTTAAATTATTGTCTCCGACAGTTAAATAACCGCTGGAGACAGTAATTTAGCAACGAATACAGTAATATTAATTAAAATATTTTTAAAGAAAAAAAAAACAAAAGAGTCAATTAACAGTTAAATTACTGTCTCCGACAATCAAATAACTGTCGGAGACAGTATTTTAGCAGTCAAGACAGTAATATTAATTAAAATATTTTTTTTAAGAAAAAAAAAAAAAAAAAAAAGTCAACGCCGGAGATCCGGCGGTCAACGGCAGTTGACCGGCCGGAAAAAAATTTTAGGAAAAAAAAAATTCAAAAAAAAAAAAAAAAAAAGTCAACGCCGGTCAACGGCGGCGACCGGCGGTCTTCGGTGGTGGTGGGTCAAAATGGGGGTTAAAATTGAAATTAGGGTTAAAATTGGTTAATTGATGAAATTAGGCTAAATTGGGGTGTAAATCATCAAAATTGGAGTTAAATTGGGTTTCCTTATTTGCAAATAAGTTTGAATGGGTTGGATTTATTTGAAAGACAAAAAAATTGGATGTCCCTCTTTTAATTAAGTGCCCTTGTCATGGGCCTATTTGCCACTACCCCTAACTGAAATGGCAAGGGAATTAAAATTGGAAGATTGGGAAGATTTCTATCACAGTAGAAGTGCAATACAAGATTGTAGCGTTCTTTATTTGATGGAGAATGATAATGATGCTTTGGAATTAGTGAACTATCTTGACAAAGACAGAGCCACTACAATTTATGTGAAGCACCTACAAGTAATAGAAGATGAAACTGAAAAAAGTCAACCTGATTCCTTTGATTTAGATAATCTGCCATATGTAGATGAAACAGTAGGGTATGTGGGTGATGTTGATGAAGTTGATGAGTTTAATGATGTGTCTGAGTGTGATGTGCCTGAATTTGAGGTTCTTGGTAGTAATATGTATGTGAATCATATGACTGACAGTTTTGGTGATAATGATGGTTTGTTTGATGATAATGAAAGTGGTGGCAGTGATGTTCAGTCAGTTGGAGATGATTCAGAGCACTCTGACTTTTTGGTTGATAGTGATTTTTTTGCATCTGATGATGATTTTCAATATGATAACAATGTTGATCATGGGGTAGAGTGGGGTGGACTTAGGTCAGATGAAGAGGTTGAAGAACCTAGAAGGTCTATGAGATTAAACAAGGGGAAAGAGAAAGTGGCAGAAGATCAGATTGATGAAACTGCCAAGAAAGATCAGTGGAAACACCACAACTTTCCAGTTTTTAATCCAAAGATAGACATGGTTGATCCTAACTTTCAGCTTGGTGTTTGCTTCAATGATGCACAGAGTTTTAGAGATGCCATAAGACAGCACTCCATAGTTAATGGTAGGGATATAAAGCTGAGGCTTAATTAATGAGAAGTATAAGATTCAAGCCATATGCAAGCATCCAAGTTGTCCCTGGCTAGTCTATGCTTCTCAAATGATAGGTGAATCCACCTTTCAAATCAAGACAATCAATGCAGTCCATGAATGTAACAGAAAGGAGAGAGTGACTTGTGCAACTTCCAGGTGGTTGGCCACTAAATATGCAGACAAAATAGTTACTGATCCAAGATGGCCATTGGAGTCTATGATTATTGTGGTCCAAAATGACTGCAAATTGTTATTTAGTAGACACCAACTGTACAGAGCAAAGCAAAAGGCAATAGAGAAGAGTACAAGGTCTAATATTGAGCTGTATGGGCTCATATGGAGGTATGCTCAGGAAATTAAAAAGTCTAGTCCTAGGACCACTGTTAGAATCAAAGGAAGTGGTGAAACAGATCAACTGAAGTTCAAAAGAATTTACATTTGCTGGGATGCATTGAGACAGGGGTTTCTTGATGGGTCTAGGCCAATCATCTTCTTAGATGGTTGTCACTTGAAGTTGATATATGGTGGGATTCTTCTATGTGCAGTGGGGATAGATGGAAATAATGGCATGTATCCCTTTGCATATGCTGTTGTAGAAAAGGAAAAGAGAGAAAGTTGGTTGTGGTTTATGAATTTGCTGAAAGAAGACTTGAAGATTGAGGAGAGTCAGCATTGGACGATCATGAGTGACAAACAGAAGGGGTTATTAGATGCAGTGGAGGAAGTTCTGCCTAATAGTGAGCACATATTTTGTGTCATACACTTGTACTGTAACTTCAAGGTATCACATAAAGGATTGGCACTCAAGAACATTATGTGGCAAGCTCCTAGAGCTTCAAGAGTGGTAGATTTTGAAAGAGTGATGAGAGATTTGGCCTCCAAAGATAAAGATGCTTTCAAATGGCTTGCAAAAAGGCCTGCTGCACATTGGAGTAGAGCTTTTTTCAATACAAATTCAAAATGTGATACACTTTTGAACAATATGTGTGAAAGCTTTAATGCAATGATTCTAAGGCCTAGAAGTCTACCAATAATTGATATGTTGGAGGCAATCAGAAAGACCTTGATGAAGAGGCTGCATGTGAAGAGGGATAAGATGGCAAGCCACAAGGGTGACATCTGTCCTAACATTCAGAGACAGATAGAGGAGCTGAATAAAAAATCAATGGAGTTCATAGCTAATTGGAATGGTAATGATCAGTTTGAAGTTGAGAATTGCTATGGTGATAGATTTAAGGTGCATTTGGGAGATAAGACTTGCAGTTGTAGAAAGTGGTAAATCTCTGGAATTCCTTGTGCACATTCCATTTCAGGCATGTATACTATCTGGGGAGAATGCCTGAAGATTATGTTGAAGACTTGTATAAGAAGAACACCTATATGAGAGTGTACAACCACTTACTTGACACACTTTAAGGAATTGAATCTTGGCCTGAATCTGGAAAGCCACCCTTGCTTCCTCCAGACATTGTGAAGATACCAGGCAGGCCTCAACTGCACAAAAGAAGAAGGCAACCAGGGGAGATCAATGGTCCAAAGGACATCCCACCACCAGTTGCCAAAACAGTAACAAGGATTGGGAGTTTGGGTAGAAGGCAAGTGGTGCAGTTAATGACAAAGGCCATGTATATGCATAGTTTTCAATTATTCATTATTTTATTAAATTAATTGTTAACTAATGCAGTTGAATTTGTTTCCAATGCTAGAGAAAAAAGTCAAACACACAAGCAACTGTTACTCAACAACAAAGCCAAACTGTGATAGAACAACAAAGTCACACTACATTTGAACCTCATATGGAAGTTCAAACAAGTATTGCTATTAACAGAAAGGTACTTAGCTTTTGTGATTTGTAGCCAAACTACTGTTTCTATGTTAATTTATGATTTTTTGATTTTTCTGATTTTTTACATTTCTGTAGAGGAAGCTTGTTTTTGACATTAACCAGACTCAAGAAAGTGTAGCTGAGCCTTCAACAAAGAAGAAATTACCAGTGTCAAGAAAGGGGAAGAAATCCATGATTTCTGAAAAGGTAATGCATTTAAGATATGTTTGAAATCCCTAATTTCTTTAATAATTTATTTTATTCTAACTTGTGGGAAAAATCAGGTTATTGGTAAGACAAGCAAGGAGAATGAAACAATGATTTCTTCGGATACAAGAAAGGGGAAGGAAAAGGAGAAGGAAACAACAATTGTGGCCAAAATAAGCAAAGGGAAGAAGCAATTTGTGCTTCAGCCTTCATCCCCATCACATAATCTGAGGCTAAGGAAAGCCACACCAAAGAAGAAATAATGGCCATTTACTTTGTTAGGATGTTATTGTTGTGATTTAAGTACATTTTGAACGTTTTAGATCAATACTTTTTGCATTTTGGGAATGATCTTTTAGGATTGCATTTTGCTAAGACTTTGTTTTGCATTTTGGTAAGACTTTGCACTATTTTGTAATATTTTGTATTTTGGTAAGACTATGTATTTTTATTTTGGTAAGACTTTGCACTATTTTGTAGTATTTTAGATTTTGGTAAGACTATGTAGTTTGTTTCTTGTGCACTTAGTTACTTTTTAAATGATTAGGTTTTTTTCTTATGCAAAATTCAGTAGGTATACAATAACATTCATTACAAATCTATATTGCCATTACAACAACATAAAGTTAAAAAGTTATTACGACTACTTAATTGAAGGCAAGTACATAATATAGAAAGATCAATACTTGTTATAATCATCTAAACAAACAGATACACTAAAAACATTGCAATTGTCAAGGCAATCCACAACCATTTTTCCCTTGACCCCTTCTTAATGAGTTGTTCTTCACACTTTTTCAAATCATCTTCACACTTCTTCAACTCATCTTCACACTTCTTCAACTCATCTCCATACTTCTTCAACTCATCTTCGTACTTGTTGATCTTCCTAAGTAAACCAGGAATTATGTTACGAGATCGGTCACACATTGGAGGGTCAATCCACACATAGTATTTGCAACCCCCAATTTGCTGGAAAAAACAGAACACATAATAAGAATTCAAAATCAGCAAATCTCCTCCATGGATTCAAAATAAGATTGACATTGACGAAATTTACAAGAAATTCATACCTTATATTTGGGACATATAGCGAATCTCCTCCCTGGATTCAAATCGGTTCAAGATGAGAGAAGAAGAGAGGAAGTGAAGAGGAGGGAAATCAAACTTGGAGAAATTGAGATTGAGGGAAAATTAGGGCGGAATTAGGGCATTTAGGACGATGCTAAAGGAAAAGACGAAAAAACCCATGTACTTTGGCATGTGCAGCGTGCGTGCGCCGGAAAGTGGAAAGATTCGACAGAATATTCCCTCCAGGCGGTTATGTGCGTCAAAAATGAATGTTTGGGTGCGACCGTGCAACTTTTTTTTAATTAAGGTGGTAAAGTGCAAAAACGGGCAAAGTCTAAGTGGCGAAATGCAATTAACCCATAAATAAATAATCGAGGAAGATGTAGTTAAATAAAATAATTTATAAAAAGGGCTTATTTTACATACCCCTAACCACCAAATAAACTAGGGCTAAACTCAAGCCCAAATCATCATTTGACATATCCCTAGATAAGCGAAAGTACTATACTATCCTTATATGCAATTTTCGGCCAAACTACATTCAACATTTATGGTCCTGCATTTATCATTTTCGCTGATTTATTATTATTATTATTATATTTTTTTTGAATAATAAACATGTTTGTTAAATTTATAT